TTAAATGGAAGCAGTTGTAAATATTAGTAGAGGTGAAATTTTTCAATTGACCTAAGAAAAATGAGTCTTCAAAGGGCTTCAGAATTTTTGTTTTTTTAAACACAGGAGGCTCCCCAAACATACCTGATTACTCATCCAACAAAAGGCTATTGATATTTGAATATTGTGTGCCAGCGGCTATATGTTTGGGGTCAAGTGGTGTATAAAACAGATGAAGTCCCTGTTCTTGAGGACCTTATATTCCGGTTGGGGGAAAAAAGATCCCCCACCCCCCAGATAAGTGTGTGTGAATGCATCTATGTACATGTATAACTGTGTTTCATGTGGTGATAAGAGCTATGGAAAAAGAATGCAGTGTGAGAGGAAAGAGCGATAGAGCTGAGTGTATAGTGGGGACAGGGTGAGTGCTCTTTTATGTGGGGAGGTCAGAGAAAACCATGTGACAAGGAGAACTTTTAGCTCCACCTGAAGAGGTGAGAAAGCCAGTGCTGTGACTCTCTGGGAATGGGTGAGCTCCCACGGTAGGAAAAGGCAAAGGCCACCAGCAGGAGAGTGACCAGCAGTGTGAGGAGGAGCAAGACAGCCAGTGCAGGTAGAGCAGGAGGGAAGGTGGCAGAGGAGAGGCCAGAGAGTATCCAGGAGCTGATCGCATGGGGCTTCGTAGGTCACCAAAAGCTTTTGGACTGTACTTGGAGCGAGACAGTTATTGGCGAGTTCTGAGCAGGGTGGTGACAGGAATGGACTTAAGTTTTAAAAACCTCACCCAGCTGCCATGTGGGGAGTAGATGTCAGCGGGCAGTGGTGGAGGGCAGGGAGCTTCTCCAGCAGAGAGATGCTGGTGGCCTGGGCCAGTGCAGGGAGGCAAAGGAGGAAGAAGTGCTGGGATTTGGAATGGACTCTACAGGCAGAGCCACTAGCATGTGCTGATGGTCATGTATGGGCTGGGAGAAAGAGAGCAAGAAGTCAAGGGTGATTCAAAGCTCGTGGCCAGAAAAACTGGAAGAAGAGACTTGCAGTTACTAAGATGGAATGGAGAGAGTGGATTGCGCAGAAGGAAATACAAGTTTACGTATCATGAACTATGAGTTTCAGAGGGATGGTGGGTTTAAATTAGTACTAAATTTAAATCAATTTTTAAAAAAGTCTATATTTATAAGAAATTAGGGTATCATCCAGCCCAACACACCTTTCTCCCTCCTTTCTTGCTGAGAGAACCCTGATTGTGAATGGGGCTGTCATGTGTTTAGCCCCAGGAGATGGACTGTGTGATGGGCTGAGCCCATCATGATAACCCCGTCTCTCACTTTTCCAGCCTTTTTTTGCAGCTAGGAGTGGTCAGTCTAGTTCGAGCTAAGGAAACTTAAGTGGGAGTCTGCCAGAGAAGTCTGTAAGAAAACTCCAGTTTTTCTTGTAATAGGAGAAAACCCAGCGGATACAGGTTGTTCCCTTTGTCTGTTGCCTGAATCTGAAGGCATAGGGGCCATCTGGGGACCACGAGGCAAAATGCCTGGGATGAATGCCTCATGCTAAGTATGGAGAAGCAGAAGGAGACAATGAGATTGGTGACCGACCACCAATCCCTTGAATCAACACTGATAATGATCTGTCCCTAGTGTTTTTTCTAACATGTGAAAGATAAACTCTTATTTGCTTATGCCACTGTAAATCCAGTTTTCCATTACCTCTGGTTAAATGCATTTCTAACAGTGCAGTTCTTTTAGTGCAGTGTATACTTACCAGCTAAATGCATTTCTAATAACACAGTTACATACTATTTAGCTATATACTTTGTTATTACTTTTTTAGTTATATATTTTATATACTTTCTAATACTGCAGCTACGTATTTTATAAAAATAACAGCTTTATTGAGATATAATCCACATACCATGAAACTCACCCTTTAAAATATACAATTGAGTGGATTTTAGACTTGTGCAATCATCCCTACTATCTAATTTTAGATCACTTTCCTCACCCCAAAGAAAAACTCTGTTCCCATTAGTAGTCATTCCCCAGGCCCCTCTTTTGTCCAGCTCATGGCAACCACTAATCTACTTTCTGTCTCTATAGATTTGCCTATTCTTGACATTTCCTATATATGGAATCACACATTGTGTGGCCTTTCGTGTTCACTTAGCATGATATTGTCAAAGTTCACCCATTTTGTACTATGTATCAGTCCTTAATTCCTTTTTCTGACTGAATACTATTACATTATACGGATATTCTACTTTTTTTTTTTTTTTTCCTTTTTGTCTTTTTTCGTGTCCGGCAACGGATCCCAACCCTCAG